ACTTAGAACTTCAATAGCCTCACCTATAAGAGATTTTTTCAATCACCCCAGATGAAATCAATTGAAGATGATCCAAAATGGTGTTGTCGATTTTCTTTGAAACTAATTTTAGGTCTTCAGCACTATTCTCTAAAATCCATTTGCATGTGAACTTCAAAACTCATATTCGACAAACTGGCAAATCTAGCAGTTGATGGAAGAATTGACCCTTCGCCACCAAATTTTTTTCATAAATCCTTCCTTCCAAAGAAAAACCCATACGTCGGAATATTTCTATATACAAATTAAAAACCTTAGTTGCTAAGAAGAATGTACCCAAGAAACCATTAAAGCCACAAACAGTTCTTTATTTTATCTATTTCAAGGCACCAGAACATTATGGGTTCTATTGCTCAGGCGACCGTCACTTCTTTTTTGAAAGTTGGCTTATTTCATGACATACACATCTCGAATAACCTCAATTCCTTTCGGAATTCGATCAATAAAGATGAAGAAGAATGAAAAGATTTGGTGACAAAAGTTTTAACCCATTACCAAGAAATTACCAAGAGAAACCAAATTAGTCAATTCTAATGCTTTCTCCACCATGGCCAACCTTTTTCGATCGCAATTTGCTTTGAATTTTTAGGTTCAAACCCCCTACGGCTTTCCCCCCAATGAGGAAATCAGTGGGAGAATTATTATCAGAAGAACAATCCCACATTATTGAATTGGTAAGGGTTGAAATTAGAAGTGGAGAAAGAGACATGGAGCAAGCCATTGTGAGAATTCAAGAGAGTTTGGTTGATGAAGAAAATGGGAAAATTAGTGGATGAGTAAGGTGCAGAGTGAATGAATCAGTGTCAAATTATATATATATATAATTTATTTGGGACTTATTTGTACGTTTTTAAAAAAATCGAGAGTATGGTTACAATTAATTCTTTGGTTTCTTTTTGGTTTTATTTAAGTAGAAGGTATATTCATCATTTCATAACTTTTTATTTAGAAATTGGATGGAAATTGATGAAAATGATGATTTCTATAATAGAAGGTGGAAATAGGGGTAAAAGTGCAAAAAATTGAAACGTAGTGATGTTTTCACAATGAACTCCAAACATAGGGATGTTTTCACAATGAACTACAAAATGTAATGTAAATTTTGGAATAATAACTTTGTAAATCAGAAAAAAAAAAGTTACTTTTTTTATTTGTGGCTGACTTTAGCCATCCGATTTCAAAATTTAATGGAAATAAGAATTCATTCCTGGTTTCACACCCTTATAAAATTTACTAAAATTTTAGTGGAAGACACACTATTAAGTGTTTGTTGTGTGTATTGGGTTGTCTTTTACCTCACACTAAAAAAAAAAAAAAAAAAAAAAAAACCTTTTGAAAGTGGCAACAGATTTGCTGCCAGTTAAGTTGCCTTAACCAGAAATAAATCGGCTGCCTATTAAGGTAGGCAGCTACACATCGCTACCTTAACACATGCGGCAATTTGATTGTGTATGAAATTTGAATTTCAAATTTAGTTTAAATGGTTTGATTTTTTTGGTTATAAACGGGGGTTATATTTCTCTATTTCATATCAATTTTCTTCAATCAATTTTAACTTGCAGTACTCTATTTCAAGTTTCAACTTCAAACTTCAATTTCTTTACTCTAATATTCAATTTTTTTGCTTTAATGTTCAATATCTTTTGTTATAATAATTATAGAATATAGATGGATATTACTAGTGATAAGATTAATCAGTTTAAGGGTAGTTCGAATATTCTAGCTGGCTACTATGCATCTCAAGTTTTCCGATTGAGTTGGAGGATATCAAAGAGGAGGAAGTACTCGAGACTACTAAAAGGTCGAAAAAAGAATCCTCATATTGTTTGCAAGATATAACACATAAAAAAGTTGGTATTCAAAATAGAGTTGATATTTGAAAAGCATAATGCAATTATTGTGTCAAAGAACTTAGTTGGAATCCCAGTTTAAACACAATGCATTTGAATAGGCACATATTGATGAGTTGAAAAGCGAAACTAGTCAGTCTTGACCTGAAACAAACCGAACTTGTGTTTGTCGGTTTCGGTTATACCCTTTAAACCTTGGTATGTTTATAGGAAAGATTTTGTAAAGGAATGCATGTATGCATGATTGCAGCAGAGATATCGCTTATGACGGACCCTTGACTTAATTTAACTGACATAAAAGCTACTATAAAGGGGATTTCAAATTTTGTGAATTTGAAATTATCACGTGTGCATATGGAATCTACATTATGTGAAATGTATAATTATTATGCTGAAAAATGAGGTCAAGGTAGTTCTAGTTCCATAGTTCTTTTTCAAGAAATATTTCAGTAAATTCAGATGATTTATAGAATTATGTGGACACCAATACAACTGCTCTCTCATTTAGTTATAGCTAATCAATATCTAGAGCGATAAATATTACTGGTACGAATCTTGAAATTCCCTTTGAGTTAACTAGGTAAATGTGCATGGACGTTCGTAATGTATTTATATCCAAAAGAATTACATGAATTTAGTCTTCTATCATGGTGAAGGAGTAACGAAAGACAATATCCAATTTTAGCAATGTTTCCATATGATCTACTAACATCTCTAATATTTATGGTGGCATCAAAGGTTGTATTTAGTTTAGGTGGTTGAGCTTTATCAGATAAAAAATCAAGACTAAAAGAATACATATTGGAGGCTTTTATTTGTTTGAAAGATTAGGAATGTATGAAATTATATATTTAAAAACAAGTTGACAGTATAATGGTCGAAGAGTTGTAGTAGATTCAAGCGCAATGATATTGTAATTTTTTATTCGTGTACAATTTTAGCTCTACTTATGTTGATTGTAGCTGATCCTAAGCCCTCAAAAAGGAGAAGCGTGGTAACTTTTATTTAATTTATAATCTGTAAAAATTGTACGAATTTTATTTTTTTTTTAAAAATATTAGAATTGTTACAAAGTAAAACAAAAAGAAAAAAAAAGCTTGGTTCGAACTCGAAAAAATGCTCAGACAATTTTACTCGAATTGAGCCTGAGCCTCAAGTTTCGACTCGCGAGCTGACTCGATTCGACTCATTGACACCACTATGTAAGGTTAATTTTTTTCCTAGACAGTAAGAGAAAATAAGTTATTTGAACATTTATATAGACAAAAGTTAAATTCACTTAATTATTTGTAAAAGTGAACTAGGGAAGTTATATTATAAGAGTTACTAATAAAAGAGGTTTTTTTTTTTTTTTTTTTTGTGTGTAACTTAAATGTAAGTAAAAATATGTTATCCAAATTGACAAAATTTATTTATTGGTAACTTACTTTCTTAAGCTTAGGAAAAGATTAATATTATAAATCTTTCATTCTCGTATGCTTCTACAATTTTTAAGGGTTATTTCGGAGAAGAATCCCTTCCTCCTTGAAAGGACCTTTCTCTGATCATCCGAATGGGTAGAGCTCCCGCATCAATAAAAAATTATTCCCCCATAAAATATTGTTGAAGCTCCAAACCTTTGTTTAAAGTACAAATGGACCTCTTGTATTTATTTATTTATTGCTCGCACTCTAGATCTTTCAGGGAAAAAAAGTGTAGATCATCCAAATGGCAATTAGTTTCATAATGAAGTGCACTTTTCTAAACCTTAGAAGGGTAAATACGAAAACGCATTATTCTAAGGGAAAATTGTAACAGTTGTCCCTAACCTTTTCATTTTTGGCAGACTTTATCCTAATCCTCATTTTGTGCTAACGAAAGTTCCTAATCTTTCATAAATATGCACTTGAGATCCATCTAGATGAAAAATCGTCCAAAACACCATCAGGGAAAATTATAGAATCAACATCTAATAAAACCATCCAAAACACTGTCCAAAAACACTATCAAAAAAGGTATTAATATCCAATAAAATCATCGCGGTAGCAGATAGTTCAAGGAATTTTCCCAATCAACGATGGTGTTTTTGACGGTTTCCATCCAGATGGACCCCGAGTGCATATTTATGAAAAGTTAGGGACCGTCTCTAGCACAAAATGAGGTCAGGATAAAATCTGTAAAAAGTGAAAAAGGTTAAGGACCACTACTGTAATTTTCCCTTTTTCCAATTAAAAATAAAGCATAAGCAATTGACTAAACACTACTTAGTTTAGCCAAAGAAAAATTAGATTTTATTGTAAATTTGATAAATTTTGATAAATGGGCATTTGTAAAGTTAATAAAAATTGTGAATCTTGTTAAATGTTTAATTTGTTAAAAATAAGTTTGAGTGAAAATAAGTTCTAGAAAATGTGGGCCAAACATGAGCTAATAATGATATTATCACAATAAACTTCATGAGTTAAGTTGAAATATAAGTTGATTCATTAATTAAAGGTCTTGAAAGGGAAATAGTTGCAGTCCACATTTATGAATTGGATTATTGGAACTTTTCGTCCACCTCCATTGCGAAATGTTACTAATATAAACTCAACCTTTTTTGACACCAGACATTCCCAACGTTCCGTAAATGCAGCAAAATTCATCCCTATAAAGCACAATTTCGGAAAGGCTTTACTGGACATCAGTTCTAACCAAAAATGAAAAAAAGAATAACCATTTAATCCCACTTGTACTCCAAACACGCACAAAACCAGAAAAAAAAAAGGGGGGAAAGGAATTCTAAATGGTTATAAAGAAACTGAGCTTCCGAATTGGATTACAGAGCATTCCACTCAAAATGCAACACATTTTTCCTTTTTCTAATCCAATTTTGATAAATCCCTTTTGCGAAGAATCCAAATTTTTTTTTTATACGACACAATTGTTTCCTAAATCTATACAACCTCTGATGCTTAGTATCTCAAAACTAATCCTGAACTCAACGTACATGGACACGGTTGTGTAAAAGATGCATCGACAAACAACCATGAAAAAACTCGAAAAAATGATGCTTCTGTGTACTTACAAAAGTGTGAGATAATAGCTTATCAGCCGTCCATCTCGCTTTCGGATGCTTGATTAACCAATTACTCAAAAATCCTTGGCGTCTTTGGAAGCCTTACTCGGAATCTTGGGCAATTCTTCACTGCAACCAATCTTGAATAAAACGTCCTCCACCTTGTCTTCTTTCTCGACTTTCCAAGGTGATTTTCCTGTAATCATATGTAACACGGTGCATCCTAACGCCCAAATATCTGACTCTGGCTGGTATTCTTGATGGATAATGGACTCCGGAGCCGCATATAGAATAGTACCCCTGAATTCCTTGTTATCTTCGTCATCTTTGATCTTCTTTGCACTCCCGAAGTCGGCCAACTTAGCGATTTCTCTGACTCCCTTCTTTCTTGAAGGTAAAGAATCAGCTACGAGCAATATATTGTGTGGCTTTACATCACACTGAACATACCCAAGCCTATGAACATGACTCAAGGCGATAAGCATGGATTTTGTGCTGTCTCACAATGTTCTCCTGCAAGCCTTTTCCCATAGTCCGATCTGCTAGACATCCTCCGGCAGCATATTCGAGCAGTATGTTGTATAGTTCATCGCCTTCTTCCGTGGTAACGTCATCCCCATAACAGTGAAGGATAGATGGACAGCCATTGAATATGTCAAGCAACTTCTTCTCTTTAACGAGCGAATCTGATGCAGAAACTTTTGCAGTTTTGACAGCGATAACGTGCGAAAATCGATCGCCATTCTGTTGGAGTACATTGGCTATAGAAACCAGAAACCAGGCCAAAACCTCCTCTTCCGATGATTTCTCCTCTATTCCAAATCATGTTTCTGATCGATGTTCTTTTTCTTGCTCAGCTCAACTATCTTGAATTCTCCATTGTGGGTGAACGTGACATGATAGTTTATGTAGGAAAATAGATACTTTTAACCTTGTTAAGAAATTCCGATTTGTAGTAGGATTATCAGCTAACAGATAGTAGAAACTGAAGATATGAGTGTAATATATACCCAAAAGAAGAAGGAGGAGCTGTAACTGTTACGCTCCAATCTTATACGCGCCTCGGAACGAGCACCACCATATATTCCGACCTGATATAGACCCGTCCGAAGTGTTTCCGAAGTGATATCGGAACAAGCACCATCATATATTCCAACCTGATATAGACCCCGTCCGAAGTGTTTCCGAAGTGACATCGGCATTACCTGCAACCTAATAGCGCTCTGCGAAGTACAAGTGACTCCTACTACTGACCAAGCCGAAGCACCTCGCCCCGCCCGAGGACAAGGTTAGGTGGACCCCGGTTAAAAGATCCGCCGTCAATTTCAGAAAGAGATTTATGCCAAGATCCTTCCTGCACCTAAGGTTTAAATTGATTTGACGTCTCCAGGAGGCTAGTTGATGTGACTTATCAACTTTATGTCAATTCAACTCAGAAGAAACAAGCTGTCCACCCACTCTATAGACGCGGCTGATTGACGCCTATGAGCAGACGCCGCATACTGTCAGATATATACACACGTCCCACATCCAACGGTTCATACCAATTATAAGTACCCAAGGTTTGGCAAGAGGTAAAGGTAATGAAACTCTTATTATATAGCACTCCATAGCAAGCTTATATATTTTCTCCTCCCCCTTTATCATTGATTTGCACAGCCCCTGGGTACTGTTCCGACTACTTAAACCTGACTTGACCGTCGGAGTGTATACGGCCGTCACCACCTCCGCTGGATTCGGTCGTGTGCGTCTGACTATTCGCTGATTGTGCACAGGGAAGAATACGTGGAGTAGCTTTTAGTTGGCCACATGGAAGGACCAATTTTCGAGGTCAACAGATTGGCGCCGTCTATGGGAAACACTCCCCATTCGAAGTTTTGCATTCTCCATCGAAAAAGTTACCGGAAAACTAGCGACTAACCCTGAAAAGAGGACATTCTTGAAAAAGAACAAAGTCGAGTTACAATCCAAGCTCTCACTACCCTTGAAAAAAGAGGTAGGATGACGACAACCCCGTGAGAGAGGCCTCTGAAGAAGAGGTACTCCATAACAATGTTACTCATCAGAGACCACATCACCAGCGTCGCCGAGGTGGAAGAACAGCCATACTCACTGAAGGAATGGCTCAGATAGCTACAGGTATGAGAGACATAGCAGCTCAGAATATGGTAATGCAGGAACTCCTTATGCAAGCCCAGGGTCATCAAGGCTACCAAATGCCCCAAGGATCTTATCCAGTGCGGGAAGCCCCTGTGTCTCACTCCCGAGGCCATATGAGCCGGCACACAGAACGTCCCCTCGAAAGGGAGATGAACACCGAAGCTACATCTTATGTGCAAAGGAGTCAGCCATCAGAACCACGCTTGGGGGACAATTTTCCTCAGGAACATGAGGATCGAAGATCGTTAAGCGTCTTCGACCGGATAGGGGAAGGTCCTAGCAATAGGGTCCGCCCAGCAAGAGGATCAGTTCGTCCAGATCACGAACAAGAACATGCTCCTCCTCTTCTAGAAATAGGAAAGAGAAGAGGAATCTAGTCGATTGGGGAAGTCGAGGAGAAGCACCCCCGCCTCCCCAGGACATCCAAGATGATGAAGGGTCAGATGGGCCCTGTCGATCTTATGAGATTGACGATGATGATGATAACCTCCCTTTCTTAAGGGAGATCCGAAGCTTCCCAATGCCAGCGAATTTCATGCCCCCTAAGATCCCCAAGTATGAAGGAAAGGGGGATCCGGAGAAGCACCTCACCAAGTACATGACGCAGATGAGCCTGAGGGAAGCCTCGCCTACTTTAAAATGCAGAGCCTTTCATTTAACGCTAGGCGGGGCCGCCAAGATATGGTACAGCAGGCTTCCTCCCCTAAGCATCAGAAGTTGGCCAGATTTGAAGAAATCATTTTTGAACCAGTACCTCTCACGCAGGGAAGGAGAGGCACCAATTCAATGCCTGCAAGACATGAGGCAGGCCCCTGGGGAGACGCTGAAAAGCTATCTTACCAGGTTTACAGACGAAATTACATACTGCAAACAGGTCACTAACAAAGAAGCCCTTTCAGCTCTGAAGGGTGGGCTCAACATGAACACTTTGTTCTGGAGGGACGTGCGCAGCAAGAATCCCTCCACATATGACGAGCTGGTGGAAATGATGAGAGTGAAGAAATGATTGATCATCGCAATCGTGCCGCGTAGGTACTCCCTCCTCCTCAGAGGCAGGTAGGTCAAGGACTTGCAGCACACCTTGTTATTCAGCAATGGACCCAATCAGGACATACCATAGCTCCCACATCCGGACAGGCACTAGCTTCCGCCACATTGAATGTAGTACCGGTGCTGGCATATGATAATGCCCCTACCGAAATGGAACCATCTGGAAGAACTGATAACAAGAAGAAGAAGAAAAAGAAGAGGCCAAATAGACCCTTGGAAGGAGCAAGGTTTTGTACGTTCCATCAACTCTATGGACATGACACTGGTGAGTGTCGTGACGCCAATCGACGCCCTGATCAAAGCAACCTGCACACTTCCAGCAGGAATGAACACCCTCGCAGATCCACCTCCCCAAGGAGGGGAGGGAGAGGTCACAGGGAACAATCTCCTCGGAGAAGAGAATCAAGGGACCGAGATCAATCCAGACAGGGAAACTAAGCCCAATTTTTCGGAACCCAAGTCATCAGGAAAATTGATACTATCATTGGGGGACCCCACGTCGGTGGCAACACCAGGAATGCCCAGAGAAATTACACAAAAGAAGCAAAGGATCCCCTAATGATCACTTACATTGTCAACGAATCGAAATCAGCAAACAGGATGGCCCCCAATCACCTTCTCCCAGGAAGACTCAGAGAGAGTTCACCACTCCCATTGTGATGCATTGGTTGTAAGAGCCGTAGTAGCTAGAAACGGATTAAGACGCATGCTCGTTGACAATGGCAGTTCCGTGAACATATTGTTCGGCTCCACTTTTGACAAAATGCAAATTGAACATGGGTTGATCCCCATGACCGACCCACTATTCGGATTCACTGGGGACAGCATCATCCCACGAGGGCGGATCACCCTGCCTGTCGAAATAGGTTCGGCACCCCTAGTGGCCCAGCACTTCATGGAATTTTTGGTGATAGATCACAGATCGTCTTATCATGGAGGATTAGGCAGACCCGCTCTGAAAGATCTTTGGGCTGTCACGTCCATTCACTATTTGTGCATGAAATTTCCAATCGAACATGGGATTGCTACGGTCCGGGGCGATCAGATGGGCTCCAGGGCATGCTACTTAAACTCGCTGCGAAAGTCCGAGCTCCAAACTGTTAATGTAATCCTAACTGAGGTACCCGCTGAAGTCGGTACAGACGTGGAAATGCTCGACGCCCCTGAACAAGGGCAGACCTCTGAACAAGAGGGAGACGTCGACATGGAAGAGGCCCCTGAACAAGGACACCCTCTTGATGAGTTAGACCCCCGAATAATTGACTCTGAACCAAATGCGACCCCAATGGAAGAATTGGAGACTTTCCCCGTCAACCCGGAAGACCCCAGTCACGTCTTGCGTATAGGGAAGGTATTGTCACCTGAAGCAAAAGTCGAGATGATACGCTTTCTAAAAGAAAACCTGGATGTCTTCGTATGGAAACATGAAGATATGGTGGGAATAGATCCTAGGATCAGTTGCCATCATCTTAACATCAACCCCTCCTATGCCCCTCATAGACAGAAGAGACGTGCCTTCAATCCGGAATGGTACGAGGCACTAAAAGACGAAGTAAACAAACTTAGTCGCAGTGGTTTCATAAGAGAGGCCATCTATCCAAGGTGGATATCCAACCCGATTTTGGTAAAAAAACCCAGCGAAAAGTGGAGGGTATGCGTGGACTTCACAAACCTAAATAAGGCGTGCCCTAAAGATAGCTTCCCACTTTCAAGAATAGATCAACTTGTGGACTCTACCGCTGGGCATGAACTACTGAGTTTCATGGATGCATACTCAGGGTATAACTAGATACCCATGTTTCGACCTGATGAGGAAGCTACATCGTTCATTACAGACAGGGGTTTGTATTACTACAAAGTCATGCCCTTCGGATTGAAAAACGCCGGAGCTATATACCAGAGGTTAGTCAACATGATGTTCGCTGAACTCATTGGCAAAACCATGGAGGTCTACGTGGACGACATGTTGGTCAAAAGCCTCCAGGCAATCGAACACGTGAGTCACCTCGACCAAACTTTTCAGATACTTAGAAAGTATAATATGAAGTTGAATCCCCTCAAGTGCACCTTTGGAGTGGCATCGGGCCAGTTCTTGGGGCATATTGTAAATCAGAGAGGAATTGAGACAAATTCAATAAAAGTATATGGCCTTGCTAGAAATGAGGTCACCTCGAAAACTGAAGGAGGTCCAAAGTCTCAACGGGCGGATAACCGTACTCAGTCGTTTCATCTCTAGAGCCACATATAAAAGCTTGCCTTTCTTCAATGTGCTGAAGTAAGGAAAGAAATTCCAATGGACTTCGGAGTGTGAAGAAGCCTTCGAGGCTCTGAAAAAGCACCTTGGAGAGGCACCCCTCTTGTCGAAACCTCAACCGGATGAATCTCTACTACTGTATCTAGCGATTTTGGACGTGGCGGTCAGCGCAGTCCTAATCAGGGAAGAAAATGAGCGCCAATTGCCAGTGTACTACATCAGTAAAGCGCTCCTCCCAACTGAAACACGCTACCCAGACATGAAAAAATTGGCACTCGCCCTTATCACAGCCTCAAGAAAGCTGAGGCCATACTTCCAAGCCCACTCAATACAAATTCTCACCAATTTCCCTCTAAAGCAGGTAATGCAGAAAACAGACGCATCAGGACGCCTGCTAAAATGGGCAGTTCGATCTAACGTTCCGACCTCGACACGCCATCAAGGGCTAGGCCCTTGCTGATTTTATGGTTGAATTTGCTAAAGCCCCAGAAATGGAGGCGATAATGGAACCAGCAGAGCCCCCCACCTGGAAACTGTTCGTAGATGGGTCCTTAGAAGAGGCTGGCACGGGGGCAGGGATCGTATTGGAGAGCCCGGAAGGCCACAAGTTAAATTGTGCAGTAAGGTTCGGCTTCAAAGCCTCAAATAACGCCGTCGAATACGAGGCCCTTCTGGCAGGTCTTAGACTCTCTAAGGAGATGCAGGTCAGGAAGCTCCTGGCGAGCAGTGACTCTCAGC